TGGGTAAGCAACTTGGGTTTTGTTTTCCACAAGGGCTGCTACGTTTCAAGAGTGTCTTGCCCTCACCCGCTTTTCTGTTTGTGAAAGAGGCAAAGTTACGGGGAGAAGGAAGCACTGTTCTTGGGGGACAGACAAGCAGAGAGGAAGTGAAGTGAAGTACAGCTTGTTATTGTTGGCAGTCACTTCTGCGGAAGAGACAGGCTGAGAAGAGTGCCTTTCCCTCTGTTTCCAGACCGGCACAGCAGCCACCAGTTGTTTGTAGCTTTCCTTTTAGTCACGTTTCTGATTTGAAGTTCTTGACAGCACTGAAGAAGATGGTGTTGTCTTGGCAGACTAAGCAGGGCTTTTTAAAATTTGGCTATGGGAGGATGAGGGGCATCGAATGAGAAAGACGAATGACAGAGGAGAGGCAGCAAGAGCTGAAATTAGAGCCCTTGGGAGGCAGAGGCGAGACATGGGTATATTGGCTGCAGAGGAGAACTGAGGTTTAAGCCTGGGTAGCAAAGCAGGCTCCTTCAAACCTACCTGCCCCACTTGTTCCCTCTGATGGCTCTCCCAGAAATGCAGCATCCGGTGAGTGTGGTATCTGCACTGCATTAGCTCCAGCTAAATATTTCAGGCATTCAAACCCATCATTTTTTCCTTCCATCCTAGAACACTTGAGCTTTTTCCAGGACTGACCCATGACACGAAAGGCTTTGCTTCAGCAGTCTGGCCCATTGGTCTGCTCAGATTGTTGGCTTGTGTCCTGGGCTGGGTTTTGTCCCTTAGGATAAAGAGATGACATCCAAGTTCAGAAAGGTGAAAAATGACTCTGATGATACTTCTCTTTGGAGTAATTTTGCTTACTTCCCTCAAGTCATAAATGATGTTGGCTTTTGTCAGCAGGCCAAGTACTGCACTTAACACCTCAGATCAAGCCATTGCCTCTCAACAGCGACTCTGTTGCTGGAAGCAACTGTTTCTCGTGGTGCTCCAAAGAGACCGTCCCGCTTCTGCTGAGAAGATTTGGCCTGTGGTGGGAGTCCCGGCTCAGAACAAAACTTGCAGCAGGTGTTTTGTTGACAAAGGCGGGCTCTGTAGAGCCCCTTGCACTTGCAAAACAGCATTTAGGCAGCCAGATCTCCTGAGCTTCCTTTCAGCCTGGGGCTCTGAAGACATAGAGCCAGCCAGCAGGAAGGTCTGGTCGCAGGGATGTGGGGGAATGTAGGTTGCCTAAATGTGACTTGTGGGTTTAGGGCATGGCTGTGAATCCCAGTCACTGCCTTACAAAGGCTAATGGTAATACAAGTAGCTGTAGCTTTTCTGAGAGCAAGTGTTTATTTTATTATAGAAACAGAGCTGGAGAGCGAGTCCCCCTCGCCATTTTAAAGTAGCTTTACCATTTTACAGTAGCTTTTATCCCAGAAGGAACAGAAATACTGCCGTGAATCTATGCAGATTAACTGTGTTTAAGCCAGCGGAAGATAGGAACGGAGATCAGTGAGGCAGATAAGATTAGTTGATCAGATCAGTGCCAAATCCATTAATGTCAGCAGGTAGTATTTTTTATTCTGCCATTTACCTAAATCACAGCTGACAGCTGAATGTGTTTTGGCAAGTAGTATAGCCAGCAATTTACTTGCAGAACTTAAAATGGTAGAAACACCGGGGTCATTAATGCAGACAGTTCTGCTCTGCTAAAAATACCAGGGATTAGAAGGACTAATACATGAAAGCATCAACACACCAGGTAGTGTCTGCTTTTAGTTTAGTTCCTGGAGGGGGGGGCAGTTATGTCAGTTGTGTTTGTTTCATTTGGGAAAAAAAAGGGGGGAGTGTGCAGAAAAGCTTGTGGGTTTGCATTTTTCTTTAAATCTGCTTGGCCAGTTGTATGGGTTCTAGCAGCTTTCAGACTGTGGTTAATTAATACAGGATCTTACTAGAGCTCGATGAAAAACAACGGAAATATTTTCCCTTGGCTTCTCGGGATGCAGCTTTTGAGCGCGTTGCCTGATGTGACATCAAGCCTGGTGCTGCTGCAGTTATAGCCGGTAACGTTGCATTTTTCTTTAAATCTGCTTGGCCAGTTGTATGGGTTCTAGCAGCTTTCAGACTGTGGTTAATTAATACAGGATCTTACTAGAGCTCGATGAAAAACAACGGAAATATTTTCCCTTGGCTTCTCGGGATGCAGCTTTTGAGCGCGTTGCCTGATGTGACATCAAGCCTGGTGCTGCTTCAGTTATAGCCGGTAACAGGAGCAAATGCTTGGTCAGCCCAGAGGGAGCAGTGTTTTGCTGATGACACCTTGCCGGGACATTCCCAGTGCACAAGCTCAGCTGTGTGTGGGTCTCCCTTGCAAAGGCATCTGCTCCGAGGAGAGGCTTTGCCTCTTTGTGTCGCACCTTCAGATTCAGCTCCTTGAGCAAGCAGTTGCAAAAGCTGTTGAGTAAAGGATGTTACGTTATCACCTCTTTTTGAAAGCATCTTTTCTCCAGGCTGGTGTCGCTCTAGAGGATTTGCCTCTAATCTTCAGGGCCCTGCAAATACTAGTCCTGGAGAGGAAAGGACCATGTTTGGTGGTAGACTAGGCACTTCCAGGGTGGTTATCGTATATATGCCTCAAAGTTCTTTGTCAACACGGGTGAAAATGTCTATTTTCTAGCCAGAGCAAACAGAAGCAGGAAGATGTTTGACTGCAAAACCCAGAGTGAATCCCTTGCGAGGCCAGCAACAGACCCTGCGGCTCTACCGATGCCTCGGGCCTTGCAGCCTCATCCCCTGTGATCCCAGGGGAGCTGAACTGCCTGGGCCCGCGTTTGGCCGGCCATGCGCTGTTGAAGCTGGGCATCAGACCTGGCTCCTCCACCCGGGAAGAGTCATTCTGTATTTATTGCGGTCTGACAGAGAAGCCTTGCAAAGCTCAGACGAAAGCCCCTGTCGCCCCTGGCCGCGCTGGGTTTGTCTGAATTTTTCCCTCTCTAAGGCCGAGTGCTCTGACAGACCTGCATCCCAGTTTGCCCAGCGGGCAGAGGCGTGGGGTGTCCAGTAGGACTGCTTGCCTTTTGCCTGAACTGCTCCCCCCCTCGCAGGTGCATAACAAATTCCGCCTCCGGTGTTGCAAGGGGGGGTCCTGCCCACTCATGAGTGGAAATGCCTGCACCCTTCACCCCGAGCTTTGATGCCAGACATTGCATTGCTTCAGGCTGGCTTATTCAGAGGGTGAAAACCTGTTCTTGCTTTTGGCTCTGGGCCTGTGAAGGGATCGTCAGGTGAGGTGCCAGGTCTGAGGGGTGCAGGTGGGGTTTTGGGGATGGGGGTTTCTGCGGTACTCCTGTTACCCGCGGTAGTCCTGCTGCGTGCATCAGACACTGCTTTTGCTAAAGGCCCGTTCTGCCCTCTGCTGTAGGATTGTTTTCACAGCATGAAGGCAAAGGCCAAAACTGACCCTGTCTCAGGTCTAAGAGGGGGGTTCCCAGTCTCTCCTAGGAGAAAACTGATTGCAGTTCAAAATACCTGCTGCTAGGGAGCAAGCAGAAATTGGTTTCATAGGGGAGGCCACTTGCTGCCCACCAAATAAAACAGAAAATGGCACTGTGATGTTTTTGAATGGTTTGCTTATGAAGCAGAACTTCTTGGGACTGAGGTCCTGGCATAAATTTGATCGTGGCTACGTAGCAACAGAGCAGCAAAATCCACTGGTAAGAGACTGACTCTAATCTCTGTTTTTCTGTGATCCCCAGGAACCCAGATGTTCATCTGCAACCGTGAACACTACGGTTTCCTTCCCATGCCCCTGAAATCGCACCAGACGCTGCAGGAAGAAACAGAGAACTTTGTGCACACACTAATCGAGGCTATGAGTAAGTCGCTGTGCCCTGCCGTGATGGACTCCCCCAAGTTAATGTTTGCAGAGCTCTCCTGCCAGAAGCCCAGCTCTCTTCCCCTGGGGAGCCTGCGTTCTGATCAGGCTGCTCTCATACTGTTTCGATACGCAGTTTTCCGTTTTCCACCACTTTTCCACCTAGGGATGTAATGACTTCACTGTCAGGTCAACCCCATTCATAAAACCCCTTAGCTTCCCCATATTAAATGCAAAAGTGCATCTTTCATGTGGAAAGGATGCTGCAGAACCTCGGTTTTGTCATGAGGTCTCCGTGGCACACGGCTGCTGCCTTGTGCTTTGCGACATGGAGGCTTTCTGCTACACCCACTCCTGCACTGACTTGATACCGCAGCTCCCTGGGGCTTTTTAGGCCCGCTGATGAGAAGGCATGCGGATGCGTTTATATCAATGCAGCTTGCACATGAGGGTGATGCTTGGGATCTCTCCTCTCTTTCAGTCGATCGTCCTCCCGTTGAACCCTCTCAGTATGTTTCTGTCCCTCCGAAGAACCCTGACAAGATGGGATTTGATGAAGTAAGGAACCTATTTTGCTGCCATTGCCTTGTCTTCCTATTTATCACTTAGAGGACCGGGGTTCTCCCTGTAGCTTAGCTTCCAGACGTTTCCCTTGGAATATATTATCTTTTCACATAGTTAGCTCTTCCTCAATCGCTCATCTCGAGCATTTTGCAAAATAGCCATCCTTATTTGGGGAGAACTTCTGCCGAGCTCAGGGAAGCAGAAGGGAAAGGGCTCAGGGAGTGTTCTTTCCCTCTGTCTGACACATGTTGTGGAGAAACGAGGCTGGTCAGGTCTGCGGGCACTTAGTACCTACTACAAGACCCCTGGTTAGAAGTGCAGGTTGGTGTGCAAGGGCAGTGCCCAGCAAATCTTTGGGCTTCCTATCTTGATGGTATGGATGTTTTAATCCAGCCAGGAGGAGATGGCAGAAGCGAGGCTGAAAAACAAGGTTATTTAACTGCCCAGTTCTTGTGCTGTTTCCTCTACATCTGACCCTGCAGAGCAGCTTGGCAGTCCTCCCATCCTGCGACGAAAACTGGTCTTTTGGGAAACCTCTCCCGCTTTCCAGTGGCAGAAGGGAATCTCTCACCTGAGCGAGATGCTGGAGAGCCCAGAGCAGCGGGGGGAGCCAGGCTTACAGCTGGGTTCTAGCCCAAGCTGGGGACACATCCAGGAGTGATGAAAATCACGCGTGCTGTCTCCTTGCTGTGGCAGCTTTCCCCCTGCCCTGCTTGGCCACCGCATTTTTCTGCCGTGGCCTCAAGTTAAAATGAACTAGAAGGATGGTCGCTGACACTGGTAGTGCCCCAAGACCCCACAGAAATTCCTCTCCTGACTCTGCCTGATGTTGTGGAGAGAGCAAGCGCTGAGGGGAGAAGGCTGGAGAGGGATCTGCTGTGCTTCAGCTAACCAGTGTCTGTGTTATTCACAGAGCCAGCAGCCCTGTGTATGGAGCTGCCAGGGTGGCAGTGGCACCGTCACCAGGGGAGCCGTGGTGATCAGGGGAGCCTTTGTTTTCTTGGCGTATTCTGCTGCGTCTGTTTATATGACTCGCAAAGTCTGGACCTGCTTTGGCTATGTGTGTTTGAGCGTCTGTGTTTAGGACGCAGCTGGTGTAGGTTTTTTCCATGTTGTCCTTTGTGGCTGCGCTTTATTTATCCAATTTATTATTTTTGCATTTGTACTGACCTGGAATTTGATCCACTTCTTACTGGGATGAGGCTTTGCTCCACAGGCTACAAGGCTGCACTTGTACTTGTCTGCCGGGGACTGAAAATCATCCCTGGCCCTCTGCAGTTTACCTGCAAATGAGGGCTTCAGTCCTCTGCCCTCCACCACAGAGTCTGTCTCCTCAAGGCTTGGACTCAGCCCTGCCCAGACATCTCTGTTCCCGGTCTTGGCTCCGTACTAGGCTTTCTGCTCTGGCAGGGGTAGCAGCGGATTTTCAGTGCCCAAAGTAACTACAAAAATCCTCTCTTTGCTGTGTCCTTGTACTTGGATGGCAGCCCCACCCATAAACCTAAATACAGGCAGTGGCAGCGTTGTGGGGAAGCGTGTGGGTCGGTGTTCCTCCGGGACTGGAGATGGCCGTTTTAGTCTGTGTTTAATGTAAATCAAAACATGCTAAATCTTTGGAAGTTATAGACTTGGCTGTAACTGGTCTCCTCTCACCTTTATTCATCCTCGACGAGCAGCTTTCCCTGTGACATAAAACATCCATAAAAAGTAGTTGTTAGGCAAAGAACGAGCCTCTAACCTTTCAGCTCAAAACCAACCCCATTTGTCTGACAAATTCTAAGGAACCTGTGATGAAACCACACCTGGTATTTTAATAAGATTTGCTTTTCCAGTGGGGCCGCTGGAGGAGAGTGGATCAGGAGGCTGATGTCTTTCTCTTCTACCCAGATTTTCATGATCAATCTGAAGCGTCGGAAAGACAGGCGGGATCGGATGCTGCGGACTCTCTATGAGCAGGAGATTGCAGTCAAGACAGTGGAGGCTGTGGATGGAAAGTGAGTTTTGGCAGGGGTTGCTGATGTTAACTGCTGAACGCCATCTCTTTGGATGCCCTGGCCTCCCTTCTGGTGGGGAAGGGTGGGCTAAGGGGAGAGGTGAATACCGCTTTTATTTACCTAACGCTCT